GCACAGACGTCAGAGAGGTGGGTTCGTTGCCCAAACGGTGCAGTTGTGATGTTTGCTGGAGCCATCCCTGGTTCTGAATGAGGAAATAAACGCCCTCGCTCGCTGGATGCCTGATGCGTCCTTGATGTGCTGTCCGTGGTACTGAAATGTAGCTCGTTTCTTTGGCGTCGTCCGTGGTGCTGAAGAGCCTGCGCTATGCTGGGATCTAGCGCTGTTGGACTTTTCAGAAGTATAATTCTGTGGTGCTCGGTGAAAACTGATCCATATCTCCCTCTTCTACGGTGTTTCGAGTGTAGCATGCCTGTTCTCTAGGAGTCAGAAAAACCCTAAAGAATGTAGACCTAAAGGAAAATGAATGATGAATCCAATAAGCAGAAAGTTCTCCACTCATTTCACAAGCTCTGCATAAGGAACAAGGTTCCCATGGAATGGATAGGGTGCGGGGACAAGAGAAAGGAACATAGGGACCTTCTCTCCCTCATTCTCTACCTCTTATACCCATTCATCAGATACACAGTCAGGTGGTCGGTTTAGAGGCAGCACAATGTCAGGGGTCCAGTCTAAATGATGTGGGTACTAATTTGCAAATTAGCATATTGCAGAGAGTAGTTGTGGGAATCCTGAGCAGTACTGTACATCAGGCAAACATAATACAAAGTTACTGCTGTTGCTAAGTGCGATGGAGTTGGTTCTGACTCATAGCTACCTTCTGTAGGTTTTCTGAGGAGCGGCTAGTGGGTTTGAACCACCGACCTCGTGGTTCAAACAGACCTTGTGGTCTAGTGCATTATCCTGCAGTGCCACACTAGGACTCTGCAATACAAAGTGGGGGCTATTTATTCATGTTTTCAACCCTGAAGACCCCTTACTGTTACCTTTCCAGTCCAGTAAATCCCTCCAGCTGCATAAGGAGACAAAACACCACCCAACAACCACTACCATAAGTGAGGATACAGAGGCCATTTGGAGTCCAGTCCACACCCCTTCCCCCAGTTGACAGGTGAAAGAAATAGGAGGGGACTTGTTAACATATGACTGTTGTTGTTATGTGCCATGGAGTCGGTTCTGACTCATAGCGACCCTGTACAGGGTTTCTGAGGCTGTAAATCTTTACGGGGGCAGAATACCTGATCTTTCTCCGGCGGAACAGCTGGTAGTTTCAAACTGCTGACCTTGCAGTTCACAGCCCGATTCGTAACCACTACGCTACCAGAGCACTGTTGTTGTTGTTGTTGTTGTTAAGTGCCATCGAGTCGGGTCCGACCCATAGCGACCCTGTACAGGGTTTCCGAGGCTGTAAATCTTTACGGGAGCAGAAAGCCTCATCTTTCTCCCGCAGATCGGCTGGTAGTTTCGAACCGCTGACCTTAAGGTTCGCAGCCCGATTCGTAACCACTACGCTACCAGAGCACTGGTGGACTCTTTTTCCTTAAAACTTTGATACTAGGGAGAGGACATTGGTCATGGACCAAAAGCACTGATCGCTTCTTCATCACTCTCTAACACCTACCCTCCTCCTCCACACATGTCAATACCCATCCACTCCTTTTCCTCAAACCCTTTCCACCAGCCTCCCCACTTGTCTCATGTTGGTGCCTGCATTGACCCCCATAACCTGCCATCAATCCAATCTGTTTCAGATTGACTTGCAGTGGGTGGGAGCTCAGTGAAGAGGGACCAAGCAGAGAACCCCTATTCCAGGTGCTGATTTCACCTGTCAGTGCCCACCTGGGACCCCAAAGTGAAACTGGTGGCTTGGAGATAACCTGAGATGGCAGATGGGCAAAGATTGCACAAATGAGGGTCTAATTGACAATCAATTGTGATTAGGAGTGAAAGGACATCTTTATAGCCCCAGAAGCTCTAGGCTGAGGTTGGGGGAAGGGGAGGATAGTTTCCAGGGATTTGGACAATGAGGAGGAGGGTGTTGTCCATCTCTATGGCCCACGGGGTGTTCCTCAGAGGGAGGGAGGGGTGGGGCCTGGTGCCAGAGGGGAGAGGATGCGGTGATCTTCACAGCTGAGCCTTATCTACACAGGCCCTTCTTCCCATAGGAAAGTTACTAGAGGTGCCCCTACCTGAGTCTGAAAGTCTCCCTTCACATTCCGCTGCCCCATCCCTGTCCCCCTGGCTTTGGACACTCTGCCTACAACTGCCTGGGTTAGAAGTGTGAGGCACCGGAAGGAGAGTGAAGAGGAAACTCAGACCATACAGATTTCTGGACACTCAGTACTTTTGTCTGAGTAGGACTCAAACCCTTAAAGAAGCCTCACACACCTCAGGGAGAAGCACATTCTACAATGCTGAGTGTGTGTGTGTTAGAGAGAAGACTGTGTAATTGTAAGCTATATTTTAATATAATATCCTATTGTGCTTATCACATCTATAGAATACTGTATTGTGTTAATTATGTTTTGTGATCATCATCATATATGAGACTATATCTATATTATATAAAATACCATGTGTGCTGTGTTCATTTTGAGTGAAACGTACAAGGAGGGCTAGATGTCCCTTAAGATTGTCACATTTCTCTTTCTCACTGGCAGGTGGTGTGTGTGTTGCGGGGCAGGGGAAAAGGAGGTCGTGTCTGCCATTAGGAGATAGGTGGCTACATTCGAGTCTTGTGACCTCTGGTAGGAACAGCCACTTTGTCTTGAAGGTTGTGTGTGTGTGTACATGTGTGCTTGAGTGAGACTGAGTCTGTACATCATACCAAGACTCCATCACCCAGAGGTGAGGTGAGATCTGCTCTTGGGACCTGTCCTGCCCCTGACTCCGGCCCCCTCAAATCATCCTCTGATTGCCCGCGTGCACAGCAAACGAGGAGGGGTCATAGTCTGGTTTGGGGGATCTGTGCCCCTCTTCCTAAAAAGAGTTCCCAAGAAGGAGGTCACCCACACGAACTAGTCAGATGCAGAGCTGGAGGAACAGAGGCTGAGGGAGGCTGTCAGGATGTGCAAGCATTTGCTAGTGATGTGCCTGACTTAGTGTGTCTGGGTGTTCATGAATGAATCTGTGCTTGTGTGGAGTTGGTGCTTGTGAGTAAGTTGTGAGAGACTCTGTGTGTGTGTGTGTGTGTGTGTGTGTGTGTGTGTGCGTGAATGGTCCGTGCACATCTATATTCAAACTTAGCTGGGGGAGGGGTGGAAAGAGAGACTGAGGTGGGGGCGGAGGGAGATAATTACCTCCCTGTGATGAGAGATTATTCACCCTCCTTCCCCCCAGAAGTGATTTATAATTTAAAGATAAAGAATAATCAAGTCCTGGCTAGGAAGGACACAGCGTAGTGGGGTCTGATTAGAATCTCGGGATGGACCTGCAAGCGGGGGGGAGGGGCGGGGGCGGGAAGGAGGAGGGGAGGAGGAGAGAGAGGTCTGTGCCTCACCGCCCTCCCCCGCCCCCAGTCCCAACCTCCCTGAGGCTCAGCATGTCCGAGCTTGGCCCAAATTACCACCGATCGGTCCCCCATTATTTCTCCCAACTTTTAATTTCTGCTTCCAAAGGATCATTGCCTGCGGTAATTGCAAAGGACCCGTCCTTGTGCGCGGAGCAGGCTCCGGGGACCGCAGTGTGAGGCGGCGCGCACACCCTCTCGTACACACGCCCGCGCACACTCACACCCGTCACACACAGCCGCACACCCTGAAGACACGAGCGCCGGGTTCCCACCCCTGGCCCCCACCTGAGTCCCCACCAGCAGCATGGGGAGGAAAGCCTGGTGACCCTCCCAGAAGAAAACACCAACCCGACCTCGGACGTTGGGCCCAGTCCTCTGGGGGCTGCAGGTCCCTGTCGTGCAAACGTCGCGTTAGCTAAAATGTGACAACTTAAGTACTGGACTTGTGAATTCTCCATACCTGGGGTAAAGGGCATTTGTCCTATTTTTCTGGGAGACCCACACATTCCCCCTTGCTTGGAGGGCATCGATTTCTGTATAGGCAGCAGTCGGCCTAGTGCGCACTTTCTAGGCTCCCATTTTGGTGGGTGGGGGCGGAGGGCCTTCCCGCCGTCATTTTCGATTTCACTTCTAATGAGCAACCGGGGGCTGCCGGCTCCGCCCCTCCGCAGGGACTCATGGCCGAGTCCTAATTTGACGAGGCGCAGGGGGCGGGCGCGGGAACGGATGGAGGATCAGAGACCCTGAGTGAGCAAAACCTGGAGAGGCTAGCGAAGACCCTGAGCTGGCGCGACGGCGAGAGGCGGACCGAAAGCCGCGCAGCGCGCGGGGAGGGGGTTAGAGAGGGGCAAGGATCCCGCGAGTCGGCTCTCGAAGACATCGCTACCCCGACGCCAAGCAGCGACAGGGCCCGAGTGGGGCGGACCCGAGGAAAAGAGGCCAAGCTCCTCCACCAGATGTCCTAACACCTCCGAGCGCCCGCAGGGCCCCTCGACCATCCATCCATCCCGCAGTCCTTAACAAGCTCGCCGGGTCTCCTCGCCTACAACCGGACCCGCGAGGCGCTGTGCCGAGCCGCCCGTAACGCCGCCCACGTACTCCACTCGGGCTCAGGCTGTGTCGGTCGGTCCAGTCAGCGTCTCGGTCCGTGTGTCCCGCACGAGGCCCGCCTCCTCTGTCCCGGCCCGTCCGCAGCCAATTAGGCGCGCGCGCTAACGAGGGCTAGGCGCCCGGCGACCGCGGCGGGCGCACGTGTGTGCGGCGTTGGGCGCGTGGGCGCCGCCGGCGGGGTCGCCATAAATGCGCGGGCCGGGCACGGCGGGCGCCTGAGGCAGCGGCAAAGGCAGCGCCGGGCAGAATCCGCTGAGCGCCGGGAGAGAGCTAGCTGAGTCGCGGCCGCCTCGCGGGATCGTGCGGTGACGCTGGGCCGCCGGGGATGGGAGCCCAGTAGCCGGCGGGGCGCGAGCGGCCGGAGCGGCGGGAGGCCGGCATGAGTACCAGCGGCCCGGCTGCTCCCGGGGACGGCCCCGCGCTGCAGCCGCCGGCTCCCGGGTCCGGCCCAGGGCCTGTGCCGCCCGCTCCCGCCGCCTCCCGGGACGCCATGGACGGGCGCGCCGAGCTGCCAGCCTTCCCCCGGGCCGGCGCCCCGCCTCTGGCCGCCAGCGACACGGTGCCCGCGGCACCCGAGGGGGCCGGGGCCGCCCGGCCCGCCGCGCCCCCACGCCCCACCTCCTTCTCGGTGCTGGATATTTTGGACCCCAATAAGTTCAACAGCCGGAGACGCCGCTGCGCGCTCTTGGGCCCGGTGGCGCCTGCTGCGTGCGCCCCGGCCCCGTGCGCGCCAGCCCCGGCTCCAGCCACCCCAGGCCGCCCGCCGCGCGCAGAGGAGCTGGAACGCCGAGCCCTCGCCGCCTCCGGGGGAGCGGGAATCGCCGCGGGAGCTGAGCTGCCTCGTGAGTATTAGGACTTGACAGCGCAGGACAGGGAAGGGGCGGGCCCTCGGCGGTGGGGACCCAGTTGTGGCCAGAGCTCGGAGGAAAGTTCGCCGCGCACGGGGCCTGCGCCTAGTCTGCGGGCGGTCTCCGTCCGACCCGGGCTCCGGGGCCCGAAGCGGTCAGCCGTGCGCCGAGGCCTCCGGAAAAGGCTTGGCCGGGCCCACAGCTGCGGGACAGGAGGTTGGCCCCGACGCTAGCCTCCGCGCGTCTCCCAGTCACGCAAGGTATTTGGTGCCGCCGCTGGCGGGGACATGCGCGGCGGCTGGCCCGTGACCTCCCCACCCCCACCATGTCCTCCTGAGGCCTCCCTCCCTTCTCTCTCTCTCTCTCTCTCTTTTTTTTTTTTGGACAAATCAGACTAATTGTGACAAAACGCTGGTTATCTCTGGAAAAACAATTAAATCCCTTCGATTACAGTTAAGGGGGAAATGTGCTTAGCGGCGGAAAGCGGCCGGTAATGGGGCGGCCCGCGCCCCAGCCGGGTCGATATCCCATTACGGCAGCGTGCATATCTCTTTCAAGCACCTTGCGAACTCCCCCCGAACATCTAAATTATAGGGTCAAAATTCGGATAATTACTCGATTAAAACCTATTACACTTATTAGGGGCCGCTATTGATCGCGAATTGCATTCGACCTGCTCCTGATTGCTTTTTGTGCCCCCCCCTTCACCCAGACTCCCTCCAACTTCCCGGTTCCTCTGCTGCCCGCTCGGAACTGGAGGGCGAGGTGGACCCGGCTGAGTGGTCGGCGCCCCGCAGGCCAGGGGGGCCTCAGTCGCACCTGCTCTCAGCTTTTTTCCGCATTGGGCGAGATGAAGCGAGAAACCAAACCCGGAGAGTGAAGGGGATCCGATGGGCAGTTTGTCCCCTTCTTCTTAAAGCCTCTAGCTGCTCTTGGAGCCCATCCTGTGCTGGTTGGGGCCATCGGACCCTGGGGCCAGAGCAGGGACGGGGCTGGCACAGGGGTCTGGATACGTCGTGATAGCCCTTGCACAAGTGGGAAGGACAGGCGGTGAGGTCAGGATATCAGCCTGGCTTCCCTAGAACTTCCTCCCGGCTGCTGGGGAAGAAATCCACCAGGACCAATCTTGTGTTGATCTCCTTCACCCACCGGACCCCTAAGCACTACTTTTGGAGGCTAGGCTGAGTGACATATGGAAGGCACCGTGCTCTCAAGCCCTTCACTGAGCCTTAGAACCACCTGTGGGGGCCATAAATGACCTCTCCTTCCTGAAGGATTGATGCTTTCATCCTAAATTTTATCCTCTGCTTGGAGGATCCGGGCTTCTTCTCGGGCTCATCCCCTAACGGGACTCCCAGGTCTCCGCCTTGACTCCGCGCTGCATTACCAGCCTGTTTGCTGGGCTCCATGGGGACCAGTACTTATAGTCACACAGACCCTCCCACTGAGACCCCCCAAGGCACAGCCTTCATTCAGAGCCTGGGTTGTGCCTGCACGAAGCTCCCGAGCAGCTTTAGTAGATAGGGACAGGAACCCAGGCTGGTCGATTTTGGTGTCCAGAAGTCCCTTCCCCCGTCGACCAGACCCGTACCCTAGACCTTTGGTCACACTACCTACTCTTAAATGCCTAGTAATTGGCTGGCGCCGCGCCCCGCGGTAATTGGAGGGTAATATGCGCCGAAATAAATTAAATGACCGTTAACTAGTTTGTACATTACACAAAATGAGTTTAATTAAGTTTGTATCTAGCCCGCGGATCGATGGGAGCTTTCACTCCGATGCAAAGTCGCAAGGGGCCCAGGCCGGTGGCACCAGCTCCTGCCCAGTTAGGGCAAAGCCGCTCATTGCGGCGCATCTAGGAAGGTTGCCGGGGTGCCCCCAGGGTTGCTAGTGGCTGCGTGGAACGGGAGGGACCGGAGGAGAGAAGGGCAATTCTGAGGGAGGATTTCTTTCGATGGAAAGAAATAAGAAGGTATGGCTAGCGGGTCCGCGGTAGACAAGGAAGGGAAGGAGAGGGAAACGAAAGAACTAGAAAGAAGACACTGGAGGAAGCAAGTTAACGAAGAGGAAAACAGACGAGGAAAAGGCAATCATTGAGGGGAGGAAGCAGGAAGAGGCTGGCAGCGGGTCTAGGGACCCGCGGAAGGAGGAAGAAGAGGCGGCGCGAAGGGAGGGTGTCTGGAACTGGGCCCTCACTGCCTTGTCCCTGCTTTCTTCTTTCCTGTCCCCGCTCTTGGCCCGTCCTCCCGCAGACGCCGGCGATCCCTACAAGGCCGACGAGGCCGAGGCCAACGGCTACAGCAGCGGCGGCGCCGGCGGCCGCAGCCCAAGCGCAGACAGCGGGGATGAGGCGGCCGAGGACGACGACGATGACGAGGCGCCCGAGGCGGAGGTGGCTCGAGGCGCGGATGAGGCGCGGGGCGGCGGCCTCGGGGCCCGCGGGTCGGGCTGCCCGGTCGTAACCGAGGCGGAGGCGGCCCCCATTGATGAGACCACGACCCCGGGACCCCGCGGGACTTCACCTGGAGCTCCGGGTCCGCCAGGGGCCTCGGCGGCAGCGCCAGGAACCACAGGAACAACTCCGCAGGGCGCGGCGGCGACGAAGCCCAAACGGAAGCGCACAGGATCCGATTCCAAGTCAGGAAAGCCCCGGCGCGCCCGCACCGCCTTCACCTATGAGCAGCTCGTGGCCCTGGAAAACAAGTTCAAGGCCACGCGTTACCTATCGGTATGCGAGCGCCTCAACCTGGCGCTGTCGCTGAGCCTCACCGAAACGCAGGTGAAAATCTGGTTCCAGAATCGCCGCACCAAGTGGAAGAAGCAGAACCCGGGGGCGGACACCAGTGCGCCGACCGGCGGCGGCGGCGGAGCGGGGCCGGGCGCGGGGCCAGGCGCTGGGCTCCCCGGCGGCCTCAGTCCGCTCAGCCCGTCGCCACCCATGGGCGCGCCGCTGGCCATGCACGGTCCGGCCGCTTACCCGGCGCACGGTCCCGGCGGCCTAGTGTGCGCCGCGCAGCTGCCCTTCCTGTCCAGCCCGGCCGTGCTCTCGCCCTTCGTGCTGGGCTCGCAGACGTACGGTGCGCCAGCCTTCTACGCGCCGCACCTCTGAGCTGGGCCGGGCTTAGACCCAGGGACTGAGGGCAGGGACCAGCCGCTGCGGGGCCCGCCGCAGGGCTCTTTTGTAAGGTGCGCTCCGTGGACTCTGTAAATAGTGGTTGCTACAGAAAGTTTTACATTTATAAAGAACTGGTGGGGCGGGGCGGTGGCCTGCGGGCGCGCCCCGTTCCGGAGCACTTTCCAGACTTCCGCTGAATCAATAAACCGCAGGAGGCCGGGCCCGCGTCTCCGCGCTCTGCGTCTCCATACTCCCCGCGCCCAGCGCGCCCAACCACCCCATTCCAGTCCCTTGCAAGGCGGCCGTGACGCGACCGAGACGCTCCGGAGTGTCGGGCTCGGAGCGGGCCCGACTCCCCGCTCCGCTAGTACATGGATCGCGGTCCCCTCTCCAAGTTTAGGGTGGGTGTTGGGCTCACGCTCCACATTCGTTGGGAACTCCTCCTCGCTGCGATTCAGAAGGGAAAGAAGGATCGAGTCTCCAGAGGGGAGATCTCCTTTTCCCTCCCCTCAGCCTATGGCCTCTGACCTCCCGGAGCGCCAGAAGCGGGAGGCGAGCGGGACCAAGCTGAGGGGCCAGGGATGGGCCGCTCAGTCCGCCACCCTCCCCTCGGCCCCGAAGCTCTCGCCCTTCCGGGGACGAAACCGAGGGCTCAGCGTTCGAGACCAAGACCACCCTGAGCTTGACTCAGTGTCCAGTGCGGTCTCCACAAGCCACCGCTCCTGGTTCCCTGGACCCCCTCACTCACCCCGCTGCGGCTGCAGCCCGACCCCTGAGGCCGCGTAGACCTGGGCGCGAGTTCGCCTGCACGGGCTGGGAGGTGGCCGTCGCGATTGGAAGCCCTCCGGGGCCGGTGGCCTCTCGCAAGAGACTAGGTGGCTGGGACTCGGTTAGGGGAAGTGGGAACTACCGAGGGGAGGATCGATCCCTACGACCGCTGGGCATTGTCTCTCGGCGCACTACCGCTGACTAAGGTAAAGTTCCGGAGACCCGACCGGGGAAATACCGGTAAGGAAGAATCCGGGGAAGGATGTGGAACAGAGGCGGGAACTTTCCCTTCCCGTCACTGGAGCCAAACACCGGCCCCTTCCACACACCTCGTTCAGGTTCCCACCCATTTGCTAAGAGCAAACGGCTGTTAGAGTCCCGCAAAATGTCCGTGGGCTGGCCAGGGCTGGCCCAATGAGTAGGGCAGTGTTGGTGCTGAGTCTCAGAGCCAGAGAAGGAAGAGAAATTGGCAAAGGCTGGGAGAAGAGCAGAGGCTGTCAGCTATTGTGATCCCTCGCTCGGGTCTCCTAGGGCTTCCGCAGCCCCTAAACTCTCCCCTCACATGTCTGAAGGCCTGGGGTCCCAGGAAGCTGCCCCCACCCACTCACCAGGTGCTATGCACCCACCCAGCCCTGGCACTGTCTGAAATAGTCTCAGAAATGGGTCTGGACCTTTGTGATGACACCCTGGTTGGTGGGTGGCCCTTTGCCCCTGCTCCCCTCCCCCACCAGGCTCTAGTCTGCAGGAAAGCCTGACCTGTAGGTTGCCCCAGTCTGCTCCTGGAAGGGTGCAGGTAGGTGGGGACACCATGGTCTCACAGCACCCTCGAACATCCACTATGTGCACAGCTGTCTGGGACAACTCTTGGAATCAATAAAGTATCAGCATTGCTGAGTTGCTTCCTGGACCCGGGACTCCAAGACCTTGAAGCTGGAAGGGTTTTGGGTAAGCCTCCATGTGGCCCTCTGCCTCCTCTGTGCCAACTGTGTGAGCACAGACAGGATAGGCCAAGTGTCCCAGCTGTGGTTTTCAGATCTAGGAACTGATGATGGAGGGGAGGAGAAAGGCAGAGAAAAGGGAGCCCCAAGACACGAGTTCTGGCCTCATCTCTTCCTCCTAGGAGCCTGACATCCCACCTTAAGCTGCACAAACCAGACCATCTTCCAAAGTACACCTGAAAACACGGTGGTCACACTCTAAAGTCAACGCACTTGCTGGGTTGTAGATGGAGTTCAGGGTCGGATCCCCCCTGTCAGCACTCTCCAGTACCCCCTTTACTCAGCTTTACCTGAGGAAGCTGGCACCAAGCCCTACAGGGGAGGGCAGACTGCTTCCTGTCACACTTCTAGAGTCTAAATTCCTAGGAACCCCTCTGGTCTCTTCAGTGCACAAGCCTGCTCCACCCCCTCTCACCCCACCCCACCACCCAAGGTCAACATGCTTTGGCTAGCTCCAGGTTATAAACAAGGAGACTGAGGAGGAAGCCCAGCATCCGAGAGCTCCAGCCCCTGCTCTAGGCTCCCTTGCATACAGGGTTCCTGAGTCCCACCATATACCTGGGGAGGGTTCGGGGCATTGGTTCCTCTGGATGCCTCTCAGCTGGCCCTACCACCCCTGCTTCCTTCTGGGCTTGGTGGGCCCCTGGCCTGCCTGGTTTCCAACTCCTGAGATTGACTCAGGGTCTCTGTTCCTTGGGTGAGGGGAGGGCACTAAGAAGCAAACTGCTGTGGAAGCTGAGGGGTAAGTGATGTCCTTGCTAGGGGGAGACTCACCCTCCCTGGCCCCACACTGGTGACAGTGCCATGGAGAACTACCTCAGCCTCAGGATCTAGGACGTTCTGCCAAAGTCCCTCAAGCCTGCCCGCAGACAGAACTGATGTACAATTTTCACGAACAAAGCCATCCCTGGGGAAGAGTCCACCTGTCACTGAGCAGACACAGCCCTGCCCACAGGAGCTTGAGCCAACACAGGCCCATGCACAGGTCTCCTCACACCCCCAGGCTCCCCAGTTCCCAACGCTTCCAGCTGCCCCCAATCTCCTGATACAATGGTCTATGCCACTCAGCCCGTCTGCCTTCCTACCCAGCCTACAGTCCATAGGGTCCTTGCCTATGGGTTAGGATCTGGTGGGGAGAGAAAACCTTGAGTTAACACAAGCTGAAAGGAATAGACCATTAATGGTTCTCTCGTGTAAGGGAATTCTAGTTGTTGGTGGTACAGGACCGTTGTGGCACCTTGCCTGACAAAGCCAACCATCTTCCACTGCCACAGCCTCATGGGCCAAATGGAAGTTGAGGCTCCAACCATCACATCCTCATTCCAGGCAGCAAACAAGAAGGAAATGAGAAAGGTACACCCTCTCTCTTTCAAAGAACTTTTCCAGACGCCTATTTAACAGCTGAACTCTGGTAGCGTAGTGGTTATGAATCGGGCTGCTAACCTCAATGTCGGCAGTTCGAAACTACCAGCGGCTCCGTGGGAGAAAGATGAGGCTTTCTGCTCCCGTAAAGATTTACAGCCTCTGAAACCCTGTACATGGTCGCTATGAGTCAGAACTGACTCCATGGCACACAACAGCTCATTGTTGTTGTTAAGTGCCATTGAGTTGGTTTTGACCTATAGAGACCCTGTATAGGGTTTCCAAAGAGTGGCTGGTGAGCTTGAACCACCAACTTTGTGGTTCACACGACTTTGCAGTTCAGCGCTTTAGTCCACAGGGCTACATCAGGACTCTTACAGCTCATTGGCCAGAGCTTAATCACATGAGCACTCCTAGCAAAGGAGGCTGGGAAATGTAGTTTTTTATGTGTGAGGCATGTTATTCCTAGTTAAAAAGGGAATGGATGTGGGGTGCCATTAGAAGACCCTACCACCCCTGCAAAGTCCCCTTGTGGCTTTACCAGTTTCCCTGTCCACCTGCCCAGCCACCTGGTTGAACCCTCAATGCCAGCCCTGCTGACTGGTCCTATCCCAAGCCTATGGCCCAGCAGCCCAGCTCCTGTACCCTAAGATGTTTGCAGTCTCTTTGCCCTAAGTGCCCACCTCCGCCTCCCCATCCTGTCACAGGTCTAGCCACCTGCCCATGTCCCCAGCCCTCTGTGCCCCCCACCTTCTGCAGCTGGAAAGACTTGCCCTTTCCTATGTTATCCATGTCTGTCTCCCTGCTGGTGGCCCACCTGTCCTCTACTGTCCCCACTTCCTCCTCCACCTCTTCAAGGTCACTTCTACCACCCCCTTACCTGGGGACCAAGAGCTCCCTGAATGGCCCCCTCCTGCCCCTTCTCCCTGAAACCCTCTCTTCCCTCCCATTCCCAGTTCTGTGCTGTTCCCCCTTCCTTCTTCCACCTGCTCTCCGGTTCCCTGCCTGTCCCTCCCATCCCCAAGCTGATGTCCCCAACATTGTCCCCAATCCATCTCCCACCAGCCCAGCTCCAGCCGGGGGTCTGACCTCCACTGATACCAACATAACACAGCCAATGCCTTTCCACCACAGCTCTTCTCCCAGAATTCCCCTTACTTCCCACATCCTAACCCTAGAGTGGGAGGGAAGAGGGGGAACGCTACACTCCAAACACATCCAGAACCCAGCCACTGCCCCCAGGCTTAGGAAACCTGCTACCCCAACTCTACTCTGGTCCACACTGTTCACTCTCCACACAAAACAGAGAAAGCTTCTAAAATAGAAGTTGGTTATCCCTGTCACCCAGGACTCTGCTCTGGGGTCTCTCCTTGCATACTCAGCCTCACTAGGGTGCCCTCTGCCCCATGCTGACCGGCTCCCTGGAGCTGTTGCTCTCTGTTCTCTCACAACTTCTGTTGTGGTCCCCCAGCCCTCCCCCGCCCCCACCCCCACACTGTCATCAGTCTTTGAAGCTGGTCTGATTATCTGGTCCCCAGCAAGTTCCAGTGTCCAGGGCAGAACTCAACCAAGTGTCACTCCAGGCGGGTCACCTGAGGATCATGACATGGCCCATCCATTCTAGGGTTCCTCCACCTGCCTTATCTCAGACAACCCTAAGTGATAGTCTCATTCAAAGGGTGCTAGGTACAGACCTGTTCTGCCTCTCCTTGGGAAGTGGGCAAATCTAGGTGTGAGCTGCCTCCCAAAGAGACTATGCCTCCCACTTCCTTAGCAGGTGGATGCTGCCATGTGACAATATCTGGCCAAGGTGACGTAGCAGAGTGTACATGTGTTGGGAGAGGGCCCAGGAAGTTCCTCACAGGA